CCCAACCTCCTCAAGTGTGGGAAAGGACCCAGGCACCCTGCTCTCCCCACCCGGCACAGTGCCTGCTTGAGGAGGGGGGTGTTTTTGCCCATGCCCACCCTGTCCACCCCACCGCAGGAGGAGCTGCAAGTGTCCCACGCCGCCTATCTCCGGCAGCACCCCGAGCTCCAGGCACTGCTGGCTGACTTCCTCCAGGCCCTGCTCCTCCGGCAGCCCCGTGATCCCATTTCCTTCGCTGCCCAATTCTTTGCCCACCAGCAGCCCCTCGGGACTCCCTTCGCTGGGGCTTCCAGCCCCCCTCCCAACTCCTCACCTCGCCACCCTCCAGCTCACGGGGAATAAAGCTGCCAATGCTGCCTGTCCAGGCTCGTTTGCTTTGGGGAAACTGAGGCACGGGGAGGGCAGAGGGTGCTGAGCTGACTGCTAATGCCCCCCCCCCCCCGGGGACCCTATCCCTCTGCCAGCTGTCCTAGCCCTTGCTTGGGGTGGGAGGTGCCTGGGGCATACCCAGGAGCAGGGCCAGGCTTGCATCCCTGTGCCCACCATCACCCCACATCACCTGGGGGGCAGACCCTGATGCCCACCTCTCTGTAGGGCACAGCCCAGCTGTCAGAGGGTGCCCCGGAGAGTCGGGGCACTACCCAGGCACCCATGGGTGCTACCCCCTCCCACCTCCACAGCCACAAGTGTCCTGGGGACGGAGTGTCCTGCTCCTGTGGGCACAGACTGACCTGCAATAACACTGAGCACCCCATCTTTGGGGTGAAGGTTCCCCCACCCGGGGCTGGCATGATCACCCTGTGCCACAGAGCCTGCCTGGCTGGGTGGTCCCCCCAGCAGCTGCGGATGCATTTTGTCCTACTCATGCACTTGTGCAACACATGCCTGCTTCCTCCTCGCTCCTACTCTGGCATTTCCCCTACTCCCCACACTGTGGGACACTGTCCTCTGTCCCCTCAACCGCCCCAGGAGCAGGACCCCTGGCATGTGATGGAGGGTGACACACAGTCATGCTCCCACACCCCTGGGCACGATGGTGTGGGTGCCCCATGTTTGCACGTGCGTGTGCACAGCAAGGTGGGGTGTGCTGGGCCCCCCTGCCTGGCAGAGTGGGTGAATTGAGACCGTGCACATTTATAGCACCCAAGCCGCCCCAGGCGGGGCCCCTTTGCCAGTCAGGTCAGTGGGTGTGGAAGAGCACTTCCTTCTCCTCCTCTTCCTCCTCCTCGGGGAGGGGAGCAACTGGGGGGTCCTTTAAAAGCTGGGTGGCAGGCATTGCACCCAGCGTCGAGATCAGGGCTCCCCAGCACCATGTCCGGATCGGGCCCACCCATGGCATCGCTGGAGCCAGGTAAGCCCCACTACATTTGCATCCCCCTCTGCATCCTTTCCTCCCCTAGACCCCCCTCCTCCACCCCGGGACCCCTGGCTCTGCTCCCCACTCCCCAGGTGGGCACTGTCACCCTCCAGCCTGGCCTGGCTTCACCACCTCCCCTGTCCTCTGTTCCACCCAGCCCACCTGTGATTCACCCACGCTCCCAGGACACGGGTGGGCTCAGGGGGGAATTTGGACCAGTACCAGGCTCTTGTCCCCACTCCATGCCCACCCAGCAGCAGGACCTGGAACAGGATCCCCTCCTGTCCCTCCTGCACAGAAATGCACTTGGCTCTTGGACTGGTGAAGACGGGGCTGGGACCAAGGGGTTTTAGGTACATTTGAGCTGGAGGTGGTGTCCGACCCCTTTGGGTAGCCACGGACAGCCCCCATGTAGCCACCCTCAAGCACCCTCTGGAAAAATGGGGCTCGTCCCTCATGGGGGTCACCGGGCAGGGGCAGGTGGGAGCAGGGGGAAGCTGGTACCAGGGCTGCCAGCCCACCAGTGTCCTTGTCTCTGCAGCAGGCTGCTACCTCCCCTCCACCTCCTTTTCCTCACTCCCCCAGGCCTCACCAGGTCCCTGAACCGGGGCCAAGACCAGGCTTATGGCACCGGTGGGAGCCCCATGCCCCCCCAGCGTCCTGGCACTCGGGATCAGACCTACCTGGACGAACTCATCAACATCCCCAAGGGCAGCGGGGTAGGTGCTGCCAGGCTGGCACCTCCATCTGAGGGCGGGCAGAGATGGGATGGGGGGCTGGTACTGCAGGGAGCTTGAGGTGGGGAGGCAAAGGGCCACCTCAGGGTGGGCAGACGTGCCTGGGACATGCCCTGGGGACCTCAGTGTCCTCAGACCCGGCTCGGGCAAATCAGCCCCAGGCTGAGCATTTCCACGCTTAAAGTTTTCTAAAAGGGGAAACTGAGGCACAGGGCGAGATGCTGCCCAGACGCAGGGATCACCCTGCTGCTCACCCACCTCCCAGGGTCCCCATCCTGGACCACCTGTGCCCAGCCCAGTAGGGCTACCCCAGGCTGCCTGAGCCTCACCAGCCTCCCCCATCCACAGCCAGTACTGGGGGTGAAAGGGAGAAGGGGAAGGAATAGGGGTTCCCCTGCCAGGAGGGGTGGTGAAAGCAGGGCTCGGCAGTGGGACCCCATAGGATGCAATTCACGGAGCGTGGCAGCCCTGGTCCAACCTGTCCCTGGGTGGGATGGAGGATTTCGCTGCCCTCTGGCACTGCTGCTAATGGAGAGGGGCTGAGGGGCAGCTGTTCCCTCCCCAAAGCAGGTGGGAGAAATGTCCTCTGTGTGCGAAACACACCTGTCAGAGCAGCACAGAGCTCCCCAGCACAGGGCTAGGGGGGACCGGGAGTGCAGCTGGGAGACTGGTTTTGAATGGGAGCTCTTCGCTCTGACCCGCTGCTTCGTCTCAGCCCGGATTCAGCTTTAGGAAACTCTGGGCTTTCACTGGTCCTGGCTTCCTCATGAGCATCGCCTACCTGGACCCGGGCAACGTGGAGTCGGACCTGCAGTGCGGGGCGGTGGCAGGGTTCAAGGTGAGCCCTGGGCCCCCCTGGCCCCGGGGTCAGGAAGCAGCCGGGGGTTTCGTAACCTCTCCTGTGCCAACAAAAAAAAACTCATGGGCAACCGGCCTCCCCAGCCCAGGAAGCGGGAAGGGCGCGGAGAGGGGGCCCTTGGCACTGGGGGGAGGGCACCCAGGGGTCCAAGAGGGACACCTCTCTGCCTGGGCTGGGGACCACCTTCAGCCCCTCCGGGCTTCTCTTCCCTGTGTCCCCGGCCTGGTTGATAGCCTTGCCGGGAGCCCCGGGCAGCCGGATCCAGCCCAGTCCCTGCTGCCTCCCTCCCTCCTGCCCCCTCCAGTTGCTGTGGGTGCTGCTGTGGGCCACCGTCCTGGGGCTCAGCGCCTGGCCATCCGGCTGGGTGTGGTGACGGGCAAGGACCTGGGTGAGATTTGCTACCTCTATTACCCCAAGGTGAGCAGCTGGGGGTCACAGCCTGGGGGGACCCCGCACACGGGCTGGTTACAGTCCTGGCAGGGACTGGCGGAGGGGCTGGAGAGGAGCAGGATGATGCTGCGGGAGCCCTGCCTCTCCCAGGGGCTCCCTAAAGCTCCCTGAGCCTCAGTACCCCCCCCCATCTAGCACCCACACACCCCTGCTGTATGAGGGCCCAGGGCGAGGAGCGGGGAAGCAGCCGCCTCAGTGTCCTGGTCCGATCTGGGGACACATGACAGTGTCCCTCGGGGGGTGTGAGCCCAGGCGTCGGGGCAGCGACGCGCAACGCGGGGCAAGCCTGGGCACATTGGTGCAGGGAGTTGCAGGGGGGTCACACAGCAAAGGAGGGGGGAGCTAGGGGTCCCATCTAGGCAGCAGGATCCTGACGAGGGAGAACAAGCGACGAGTTGTTGGCTGAATGACAGGTCCTCAAAAGGAGGGCTGGGTATGTCCCCCTGCCCTGCCACCCCCCGCCAGGAGCATCATATCGAGGCAGCTGGGTCATGTCCTCAGCTCCCACTGGAGCAGGGATGGGCAGAGGGGACAGGCTGGGATGTAGGATCCTCCTTGTACCCTGAGATCATGTTGTGGGATAGGCTGGGTGCTCTCTTGACGTTCCCCTGCTGTTCTGGGTGGCCTGCCTCAGCCTGGGGACAGGGACAGGGGTCTCCATCCTGGAGGCTGCGCCAGCTCACCCAGGGCCCAAGCCCCTCTGGGGGCTCAGGCACCTCACAGTGCCCCAGCCCCGGCCTCTCCAGGTGCCCCGTGTGCTGCTCTGGCTCATGATCGAGATCGCCATCATCGGCTCTGACATGCAGGAGGTGATCGGGACAGCCATCGCCTTCAGCTTGCTCTCGGCCGGCCGGTGAGCCACCTCACGGGGACACCCCAGCCTCCCCCATGGCCCTGCTCCGCCAAGGGGTACATGTCTAATACCCCCCTTGCCATTCCGCAGCATCCCCCTTTGGGGTGGGGTCCTCATCACCATCGTGGACACCCTCTTCTTCCTCTTCCTTGACAAGTACGGTGAGTGCCAGCATGGGGGGACGCTCACCCGGGTAGCCCTGGTGCTGATGTGGCCCTGGTGTGCCCCGCTCTGTCCCACCCCATCTCTTGACCCCTCTAGGGCTCCGCAAACTGGAGGCTTTCTTCGGCCTCCTCATCACCATCATGGCCCTGACCTTTGGCTACGAGGTGAAGGGGGGAGCTGGGGACACCCCTTTCCCTGCAGGGCACTGGCAGGGGACCCCCGGTGGGGCGTCCCCATGGGCACCAGCCTGCAGCAGGGCAGGGGGCCAGCTCACAGTGCCCCTTCCCACCAGTACGTGGTGGTGAGGCCGAGGCAGGTGGAGGTGCTGAAGGGCATTTTCCTGCCCTACTGCCCGGGCTGCGGGCGAGAGGAGCTGCTCCAGGCCGTGGGCATCGTTGGCGCCATCATTATGCCCCATAACATCTTCCTCCACTCCTCCTTGGTCAAGGTGAGACCAAGGCACTGCCACCCCAGGGTGTCTCAGGGGACAATTGGTGGGGACCAGCTGGTCCTGGCTGCGGGACAGGGCTGCTCACCCGACCCCGTGGCATCCATGTTGCCCACTGTGCCCAGACACGGGCGATTGACCGGTCCAAGAAGGACGCGGTGCGGGAGGCCAACATGTATTTCCTGACCGAGTCCTGCCTGGCCCTCTTCATCTCCTTCCTCATCAACCTCTTCGTCATGGCTGTCTTTGGTGAGGCTTTCTACCGCCAGCGAAACCAGGATGTGGTGAGTGTCACCTCGTGCCCGCAGGGAGGTGACGGCTGCGCCCAGCTGTGGAGGTGGGCAGGGCGAGCATCCCTTGGACAGTGGGTGTCCTTGTTCCCTGAGATGCAGCGTGGGGGTGGTCGTCCCGTGTCTGTGGGGGGTACTGGGTGGTCGTCACGCTTGTGCCTGCTGTGCCTTGCAGCACAACAAGTGCGTCAACAGCAGCCTCTGTGGATATCCACCAGGGGGTGAGTGGCCCCGGGCTGTGCCCCGCTGCCATCCGTACCCATTTGGGGGACACGGAGCTCTCCGCACTGACGCGTGGGGCTGCGGGCTGCCACAGCCCCACAGGAAGGCTGGGAGGTACAGTCTCTGTGGATATCTACCAGGGGGTGAGTGGCCCCGGGCTGTGCCCCGCTGCCATCCGTACCCATTTGGGGGACACGGAGCTCTCCGCACTGACGCGTGGGTCTGCGGGCTGCCACAGCCCCACAGGAAGGCTGGAAGCTGATGGGGGTGCCAGGGGTGGGGGATGCTTTGGGGTCCCCATAGGAGTGTCCCTGCACAGGGCGTCATCCTGGGCTGCTATTTCGGGGTGGTGGCACTGTACATCTGGGCCATCGGGATCCTGGCAGCGGGACAGAGCTCCACGATGACCGGGACCTACGCAGGGCAGTTTGTCATGG